GAAGTCCGCTTAGCGACTGATGTGTTTCCGCAGCTGTTGATAGCGTGGTGATCTGCACTACGACTGATATAGCTGTAAACAGTCATGTAATAGTCCATAAGGCGACGTATTCGTTACAGCAGCTGTTGTAAGTAAGGTGGACGTCCGCTTAGCGACTGATGTGTTTCCGCAGCTGTTGATAGCGTGGTGATCTGCATTACGACAGATATAGCTGTTAATATCAATGTTATAGACTGCATTGCGATGGTTTCATTTCAGCAGACGTTGATAGCGCGGTGATCAGCATTGCAACTGATATAGCTGTTGATACCAATGTGGTAGACTGCATTGCGACGGATTCGTTACAGCAGCTGTTGATAGCGTGGTGACCAGCATTGCGACTGATATAGCTGTAAACAGCCATGTAATAGTCCACAACGCTACGCATTCGTTACAGCAGCTGTTGTTAGCAAGGTGGAAGCCCGCTAAGTGACTGATGTGTTACCACAGCTGTTGATAGCGTAATGATTTGCATTACGACTGATATAGGTGTAAACAGCCGTTAAATAGTCCACAACTCGATGGATTCGTTACAGCAGCTGTTGTAAGTAAGGTGGAAGTCCGCTTAGCGACTGATGTGTTTCCGCAGCTGTTGATAGCGTGGTGATCTGCATTACGACTGATATAGCTGTTAATAGCAATGTTATAGACCGCATTGCGATGGTTCCTTTACAGCAGCCATTAATAGCGTGGTGATCAGCATTGCAACTGATATAGCTGTTGATAGCAATGGGATTGACTGAATTCGATGGTTTCATTTCAGCCGCCGTTGATAGCGTGGTGACCAGCATTGCGACTGATATAGCTGTTAATAGTAATGTGATAGACAGTGAACGCACTCAAACGTTCGTCACGCTATCAGCAGCTGAGATATCAAGTCACATCCAATGAACGCACTCAAACGTTCGTCACGCTATCAGCAGCTGAGAAATCAAGTCACATAAGTAGTGAACGCACTCAAACGTTCGTCACGCTATCAGCAGCTGAGATATCAAGTCACATACATTTGTGACACATTTTGAGACGAGCTTCAGCGTATCTGATC